TTCGTTTTTCTCGTCCTTCTCAATTGTAGCAACACTATCCTAGTTCGTGGCGTTTACATCGATGCCGAGGAAGAGAAAGGACAATGCGTCGTGTTTCCATGCCATTATCTTCGTCTATTCTTTAAGGTTTGCTGATATCTTGTCACACGCATACATATATATACTTATATATTCGCAATTTAAAAGAGATACTTATTATTTATAATTAATGAAATGAAATGCGAAAAAAGTTAAATGAAATCTTTAATGCGATTTCATGTATATTAGTGTTTTGTCTAACGTTATTATCGCTTATTTTTATCGTTTCCAGATCGAACGTGAGAAGAAGCAAGCGCGACAGCAGAAGCTGTTGATAGATCATACCGATGTAAATGAAAAGGACAGTGAAAACGGAACTCTCTTACCGAACACAGTGTCGATTATACCTGTGAATGCAGATTCTCTTGCATAAAAGCGATATATGACAACTCGATTTTTCTCACGAGTATCTAGGGCTGTGTTCCAAAATTTATTGCCGGTACTGAGAATCTATAGTGCACGTAACGTAATACATCATATACTTATACATTTTCAGTATTGGCAGTAAATTTTGAAACACAACCTAGGTGGGTGTGTGCGTGGGTGTGTGCGTGCGCGTGCGCGTGCGCGTGCGCGCGCGCGCGGAGAGAGAGAAAGAGAGAAATAACACAATAATACTGTGTACGAAATGAAATGAAACGTACATTGGATCGAAAAATCTTTTTACGAGACGATCTATCAACTTTTGGTCGATTTTTAAGTTTATGGTCTCTTAAAAAATGCGATAATTGTAATAATCGTGTTTAATCGAAACTGAAATCTCTATTGAGATTTACAAGACCATGATACACTCAGTTGCGCGACTCGGTTGCGCTTTTTACAGATTTATTCGCAATGTAATTATCCTGTATGACTTACAGGGATAAGTCTCATATCGTACTTGAATTTCTTTATTATAAACATTCAGTATAAAAAATCGATGTTTTATTTACGATAACACATTTAAAACAAATAAGTGTCGTTAGATTTCTGTAGAAGTTTTTTCATGCTTTAGTACGTGTATCGAGATTCGTGTAATTCAGTGACGATAAAGGATCGAAAGATTGAGTTGCAGTCGGTCTCAAGCACTGAGGAGAGGGAGGGGCTGAAGAGTATATACTTAATATATGTATAGAAAATCAAGTACGTTACCCTCGTGTACTCGTATATAGCTGGTATAACTCAGTGCGATTCATGCGATTAATCCATGGATCATCATAAAAAATATTTTCGATAATACACGGAGCAAAGAAAAAATACGGTCGGGAAGAAGCGACGTATGGCTGTGAACGATGTACGAAGTGAACAATATGTTTGCGGTAAAACTCTGTATGATGACCATCATAAAGATCACAGAACTTTGTTACAAGTTTTGTAATGTAGAACTGCAGTAATGTATGATACATATAATGTAATTTATGTATAATGTGCCATATTGAAGCAAAGAAAGTTAAGAATTTACAAGTAGGAATTAATGCTGCCGTTGAGTGTTTTATTTGCGAAATTTGTATAATCGATTATATCTAGCCTAATGCATATCACACATATATACATATTTACACGCGCGCGCGCGCGTATCGAGAAGAGTTTATTATAGATTTATTTAAAAATATACACGAATGTTTAACGTAAAGCTGAATCAACATTCATGTATATATACACACATATATGCATATGTATGTATATGTGTGCATTATATATAATACATACATATATAAAGGCATTACATATAGAGAGATAAAAAAACAGGGCGGAGAAGAGGTGGGGGAATAAAAAGACTTATCGAATAAATATAATATTAATAATAGATGTGCCTATATGTATTCACTACTCATTTATTCATTTTTTTGAATGGAACTATATATAATAGCCATTTAGTATTACACAGTCTGTGTTTGATTTACAATTATTATGATTTACAATTGTAGTTACGTTCTCCGCACATAAGAAATAAATGTATTTAGTTAATTCTTTGAAGGGAAATGAGTAAATATAAAGAGATTGAAATAAACAGGGAAAAATATATATACACACTTTTTACAAGCTGGAATGTTAATCATAATTTCGATTTGATAATATAATGTGTATGTTGTAATTTAACAAGTATATTATATACAATATGATAAAAAAAAAAATTATTTGTCAAACATGACGATTTTTTTTCAAGAGATCAGATTTTTGTAATTACTTCGTAATACGTAGTAAATACGAGTAATTGTAAATTAAGACGAGCTGGAAATCCTGTTCCAAATTCGCTACTTGCTTCGCTACTATAGTAAACTATACATATCGTAATTCGTTGAAAAACATCTACGATCTAGATTTAACTCTTATCGGTAATGATTTCATCAAGTCATATCGTTGAATTTTGCGTCGAGCGAGACCTTGAATAACAACGGCGATAGATTGAACAAGATCGTTATAAGTAGAATATGTAACTTCCCTCGTATCCTGTACACCCCGTACTTTTTACTCTTGTGCTCGGCAATTACTACGTCATAGCGTACTAATAACTAATTAGCCGTGTGTGTGGGATGTAATGACGGGACAATAGACGACAGTCACGATGGGAAGTGCTTAGTTCGACGATAAATGCTTGCCCCCCTGACCTATATTTAATGTTTCCACAATGAACCTGCAACTCCCTCGTCTGAAGAGCAGATGCCATGCTATATTCGTTCAGCTGTTTTGTATTGATGTTTCAACTTACATTGCACAGTAACAATTATTCCATTACTATCTATTATATATATCATGTATGATATGCAGGGAATGGAAGTAACTCGTTACTTGTAACGAATTGTTATAGTTACAAGTTACTTTTTTGGTAACTTTACTAGTAATTGCGTTACTTTTTTTGGTAACTGTAACGGTAACGTAGTTACATTTTTTTGATAACGGTAACGAATTTTACAGTTACTTTTATCGTTACTTTGCACACGATTGGACACGGTTCGATTGGACACAAGCCACTCGTAGCGCTTGAGACTAGAAAGCCTTTAGGCACCGGTCCGCTGTGATTGGTGATCGTCGATTTTATAAAAAAGTAACGGAAAAAAGTAATGAAAAGTTATTTTCTCAAGTAACGATAACTTGTTACTTTTTCTACTCGGTAACGAGTAACTGTAACTTGTTACTTTTAAAAAGTAACTTTTCATTCCCTGATAATATATATAATATAATATAAATGAAGTGTTCTCTATGATTACTCGATGTTGTACATACCATATATACAACGATCGAGTGTACATACGCAACTTTCTTTATACTCAGTGTTGGATCTTATCTAGATAAAATTATCTAGATGACCATTTAGATGAAAAATTTTGATGTCATCTTATCTTTATCTAGATAATAAAAATATTAATTATCTTTATCTGCATCTTAGATGAAAAAAAGTGTCATCTTTATCCATAATGACATTTAGATAATTTAGTTTACATTTGTTGAAAATGTGCTGAATATTGAAATATTCGCTTTTATGTAGTTCATGTTTGCAGAAATATTTTTAGCCTCAAGGAGAAAGTGGGTGCATCCAGTAGTAGATAGGTCTGTTCGCGTTGCTTGCACTTTTTGTACTCGACACCTTCGCTGTCTTTCTTTTCAAGGCCAAATACATGTATATCTATCTTATTTAAGTACAAAAATATTTGGGGATTTCATGCAACGCGAACAGATCTTATATAACTACTCACTTGCACTCAAGTGATTTGAGAGTCGATTGTGTAATCTTGAAATGAGGAGAAAATTACAAAAGTGAGCAAATTCACTAAATATTGACCAATTAAATTATAACTATTCTAGTGAATTTGCTCACTTTTGCACTTTTTACCCTATTTCAAGATACGCAATCGACCTTCTGTTTTTTATTTTTGCACTAAACGTAGAGAGTTGTAGTGCATAGAACTCTCTTTCTCTTTTTCGCCAAATATCAAACATAATATCTATCTCATTTTCTCAAGTTCCAGAAGTGTACACTAGTTCAGCCACAGAAGAGGCAAAACAAATGGCAAAATCTTATATTTTTTATTAACTGTGAGTAATAATGAAATTAGAAATTAAATTAAAACTACTAAGTTATAGACTCCTTTAATCGATACGACAAACAATAAAAAAATTTATACAAAAGGCTATAGGAGTCAACCTCTGGCTGTTAAAAATTTCGAGATATATATTTAATTAATAATATCATATGATTTCGTACATTTTGACTTCGGTTTGAGTCATCTTCAGTGTTACAACCTTTTAATATTACAACAATTAATATATCGCAGTCAATGTCTTCACAGTTTTCTTTCCTTTTGTATGTGACTGTTGTGGATAAAAACTCAAGCTAAAATTCAAAAAAAACCGTTGAAAAAGGTGAATAATATAGAGGACAACAGAAATAAAAATTGTGCTCATCTCACAGAGTCAACAAGTCACATACAAAGTAATAGTAAATTACACGAGAATTGCAGAACGTCATCGCAAATTAAAATTGAAGACATTTACTGCGATATATTAATTGCTGTAATATTAGGATTGTAACGTTGAAGATGACTCAAATAGGAGTCGAAATCATATGTTATTATTAATTACATCTCGAAATTTTTAACAACCAGAAGTTGACTTCTATAGCCTTTTGTATGAATGTTTTTATTATTTGTTGTAACTGTAAGTACGTATAAGTCTTAAAAATAAAAAAAATTATCTGGAAAATTTCAGATGAATTTTCAGATAAATTTATCTAAATTATCTAGATGAATTTAATTGAATCATCTTTATCTTATCTATGATAAATTTCCAAATTTTCATCTTATCTTCATCTAACTAATTTTAAAATCATCTATACACAACACTGTTTATACTTGTAAAGTACTTATTATTTTAGCGACATACACGACAAAATCGCGTATTAATTGAATATAGAGAAATAGGTTCATTTTTTTTTGCGTTCGATCAATATAAGAATAGATCAGTCTCTGCAGCAAAAGGATCGATCACGTTTGGATCAATGTCAGTGGTGGGGTGAAAAGAGAAATCTATTTGGAGAGACTTATTGCGACGGCGCGCAATAAGAATTAGTTAGCTTAGCAAGGTGAGCCGTGAAGCTAAAAAGGTGAAGCATCCAATCCATCTAGAACGAGAACGAGTGTCTGATTGAGCAGAATCTGTTCAACGTACATACCTGGTGTGACCTGGTGTGACCGCGGATTAACTTTGTTACTTTCGACACTAGAATATTGACGCGAATTTTGCCATCTCATTCAATCTCGAACGGGATGCAGGCGGCTGATGATCCCCTCTGCCAGGAACCTTTAGTGTCCGTCGAGTTTGAGGTTTTCGGAAAAGTGCAGGGTGAGTAGGTATCGTCGAATACCTATCGTTCACTTGGACGCGCCGCCCGTCAGGATTTTATGATACTACGTATATATCATCATGCAGTCTCGCTTATTTTATTGCCACGACAAATTGATATCCAAATTAGTTAGATTTGTAGTCTGCACAAGTGCATCATTTCATCGTTGTTTAATATATCCCTTGTAGCAAATTACACTGCAAAACATCGAACACGCGATTTCGATCTTTCACGTATGTATACAGATATCCACCATGCGGATAGATAGTGAATATACACTTTCACACAATTGCTTTTACACGTTAAACGATCGCTTCTCGATCTCTACACATATTACCTTATAATGCGTGCGCACGATGGTCCAATTTCATCACAATTAAAGTCAAATTGTTAAATGTAGTATTCAATTGTTTTTTTTTCTTTCCACTCGTGACACATGTAACTTTATATACGTAAAACAATCTTGATAACTAAATTATCTTAGGATGAAAGATTCTTCAATGAAATTGCAGGTGTATATTTTCCAAAGTACGTGAGGGATATATGCTTGCAATTGAAAATCTGTGGTTGGGTGAAAAATAGTAAAACTGGCACGATCCTTGGAAAGATGCAAGGACCTCGAGCGCTTGTCGATCAGATGTAAGTCTTGAAATGAAATCTGTTCACTTTATCGAGCTGAAATAGTGAAACTATATTTAGTTAGAGAAAAGAGCCATCAGTTTATTTATTACGTTACCTACATATGACGACGACGGACGACATTTGCATTATATGGGTTGCGCGGTTCCTTAATCGTACGTGGCCTTGACTAACAATTACTATATAACAAGTAATATAAAGTGATATGTCGAAAATCGACTTTATAATGATTTAATGAAATAATGACGTTTATCATCTCTTTCCGTCGTCGACGATTGCCACATCTCGATCTATGCATCGGCACGACCGTTGACATTGGAAGAGTACAGACCTGCATCTTACACAAGATAGTAATAGTTTCAAGATTCCTAAAAAAAAATCCCGAGATAAGCTTCCTTTGGAAGTTAGCTAATCGAGCTTCAGGTTTATTGTAAATAACAAATACATGTGCGTATATGTGTTATGATTCTGCAAGAGAGCAGAATAGAATGCATTTCCTCTCTTGGAAGAATGGCCAAGGCTTTAAAAAGAAATGAGGGAATGCTTGTTGAATTATAGTAAAATGAAAAATGAAAATGATGACGAAATGTGAGTCAGATCGAATCAGGAATTAAATGCTGAGTCATTTCTTCGATCGTAATCACGTAAAGTATAGTTTCTTTTATGCGTTAAAATTATTATTTAAAAAATGCACTCGGTGCTAGTCAAGTTGCAGCGTATACCATGATATTAATAAAGAATTTAACACTATATAGACAACAATGAGAGACAATTGTCATTAAGGTAACAGCCATCTTACACATTCGTCCTCTTCTCTTTGTAATATAGCAATCAAAATTACTAAGAGTTTACTTCGACAGCTTTGCATAAAAATATTTGCACTCGGTCCGATTAGTTGCTAATTATAATTTCTGAGCGTGTGAAGCATTCGTATATGAGAACGCACACTTTGTAAGCGGCGTTGGTCGGTAACGACAAATAATGATGTCAATGACGTGCATTTTGGCAACACATCAAACATTTGCGTGGCCTTCTTAAATTTGAAATCGATCATAATTCAATTTTTCGTGTGCCAAATCATACATTATTTTTTTATTCCTGCACTAGACTGCAGTATTAAAATGTTTTTTCTCGCTTGCGTCAAACATTAAATATAGATATTTCATTTTAAGTTATAAATGTATGCACTAGTTCGACCTCGCATCTGTCGCTTGTGTTTATACTCTATACAAAAGTATACATCTGTTTCACACTTAAAAAAATGACAATTTTTCTCTTTATCTATCAGTAAAACAACATTGACAATATATCTTTAATATATAACGTGTAAAATAATAAATCTTATTCCCAGGGCACAGTGGTTGACATCAGTGGGCAGTCCAGGTAGTGAGATACATCACTGCGAGTTTACAAATTGGGAAACTGTTACAAAGCAGCAATATCAAGGTTTCATGATTCGTTTCTAAGAATATAACGCACAATCGAACATGTATGTTTAAATTCTAATATTAATGCACACTAATTTGATTTGCATGTGGTATAAGATATGCTCAAAAAGTTCCATAACATCTGGAACAGTTGTACGATAAATGTACAAAATATTTTATTTTGACACTTTACGTACGATAAGATTGAAACACAATATCTTTTTATGTATTTTTAATAAATTATACGTCTCTTATAAAAATTTTCAAAACACGATTATTTATAAGGATACATAGCCGAGACGAATGTTACATTCGATAATTACAATGTTAATTAGAACATTTATAATTTAAATTAATGACAACTCAATGCATACAGATTCTTAAAAATTTATACACATATTATATATATACGCGCGCGCGCGTGTGTATAATATAAGCGTAAAGACGCTAGATATATATTAAACGTGCATTACCAACAAAGAGGTTGTATACATAGAGTAGGGGAGCCAGCTAAGATTGCGTGAGCGAATAGGAGACCGAAAACGGGAGGCCTAGAGATCCTCAAGTAAGGCTGCGGTCCACTTGACGCTACAAACGTTTCGAAGCATTCTTTGATTAGTCAATTCGTAAAATTCTTTGTTCTGATTGGTCGCTCAAACGTTTCGAAGCGTTTGTAGCGTCAAGTGGACCGCAGCCTAAGAGATGCGCACGGCGAACTTCGAGCATTTGCAAGAACATGGCGACCTCCACACACATATGACACATAATAATGGAGGTCGCCATATTCTTGCAAATGCTCGAAGGTTGCGCATCTCTTAAGCCCAAGACACAATGCGAGGGAATAGCGATAGTGATAGGAATAACATGATTTCAACCTATCAGAAATCGGATATATCGGAATACACAGTTTCTGAGGTTGAAATCGTGTTATTCCTATCGCTATCGCTATTCCTTCGCATTGTGTCTTGGGCTTTACTTGAAGATCTCTAGAGAAGCCTAGAGATCCTCAAGTAAGAGATGCGCGAATTGAAATCGTTACGGGATTGGTTGATGACGACGTTGCAAGAATATGGCGCAACCAATGGCGTAATCGTATTTTATTCCTACTTAACGCGACGAACACAAATCTAAGTGAATATATGATATTCGCTTCGCTAAATTTATGTTTATCGCATCCTTACTTTGTGAGTATACTTACTGGAAGATGATACATACTAAAAACAAAGGGAGTAGGAAAAACGTAATGTATAAAGCACAATGTTCACACATGTATGATTTTATTTAGAGAACACTTTATGATTTTATTTAGAGAATACTTGAGGATCTCTAGCTTGAGGCACAGACTTTTGCATATCACATAACGCATAATTAAAGATGTAAAAAACGGTATTTTTCATTTCGGAGAATATCAAGTAAAAAACTAGTTTTTTTTTTACTGTAAATAACAGTATTTTTGACCAAATTACATAAAAGTCGTGAAAAAAACATATAGTTATTTCAATATAATTGTTTGAACGACAGATATTTTATATTTAAAAGCTAAATAAGTAATATTATTAATACAGATAATACTTTATAAGCATAAAATACTGTTTTATTGTATATTGGTTATAATTGTACTCTATATTTTAATTATTTTGTATTCTATATTTTATTTATTTTGAGACAACATCCCAATATAATATTGATTCAAGAGTAATTAGAGGTTCAATGAACATTGTCTCACAAATTTAAATTTAGAATATGTACAATACACAGTATATGTATACAATCACAGTATACGACAAAAACAGTTAGTCTAATAAAGTATTATTTGTATTAATATAACAATATGGAACACTTACTTAACTTTTAAAATTGAAGCACAATATAAAACATCATTCAAATAATAGTGAAAGATATATTTATAGCCATCGACATTAAACTATATTAATCATTATACTATATTTTAACTTTTTAACTATTTTTAGTATTTTTCCGTCGTTTATATCTGTACACATAATGCATAAGAAACTATACCAATCAAAGTCCTTAAAGAGGACTTGATTGGTATTTGCATGTTATCTGGCTTCATTTTCTTCCTAAAATAAAAGACTCTGGATTAGTTTTCTTATATTTTATGCATTATGCAAAAATTTGTGTTTAAACCTAAAAAAGAGAAAAATATTCAGTTATATCATGAAAATGTATTTAATAATGTATATTATAAATTTACATGTATATATAATATAAACTATATTTTGATAAACTATTATATTAGTATAAGTATCTTCAGATATCATGCAGTTTATTTCACTGGCTGCAAAGAATCTGAAGATAGTTTAATCTGAATTTCAGATAGCCTAATCTGAATAAATATAAGATTTGACTACGAATAGTGACCTAGGAAGTTGACTGTTAAGTAAATGTAAATATTATACCTCACAAATACAACTAGAATCCGTGGATATTTAATTCGCTCGTGGAATATTTACAACCCATTAAGCCCTTCTGTCTGGATTTCTTGTGAAATGTTTCATAATCCCTTAGCCGCTGAATTTTTACAATTTGGTACGCAATAGCCTGACATTATTATTTTTTAAATATTACCTATAATTGTTTACTTATGCGTTATAAAGTCATGTACATTATAGGTTATAGGAATATGCCTACGTTACAATATTTTCAATTACCACATCAATTTTACAATTTATATGGAATAATATTTTATAATAATATTGAATCAATAGGCACGTTCAAGTTGTCGAAGCGGCTAGCCTGCTCGCCGAGCAAATGAGCATAATTGGTTGTTTCTTATAGATCCAATCAGTCATATTCAATTGCTCAATAAGCATTTTGCCGTCTTGAACTCGCCCATTATTATCTAAATTTAGTAATGTGTATTTACAACATACAAATATCATACACATGACGCATAATGGAGGTCGCCATGTTTTTGCAAATGCTCGAAGTTCGCTCATCTCTTACTTGAGGATCTCTAAAGAGGCCCATCCTTATTTAATCGTGCATGCGCTGTTGATTTTTCTGTTAGGTGGGGAGATTTCAGGAGAGCAATATATCTATATATATCGATGCCGCCTAAAGACATCATAGGTTTGTTCGCGTCGCATACTCCAACAGGTTCCAATATGCTTCTACCATAGCTCCTACTCACTCTATCAAGCACGTTGGAGTGAATAAGAGCTATGATAGGAGCATGTTGGAGCTCGAGTCCTAAATTTATCAGAGAGGCGAAACCGGTGTTACGCATTCTGATGCAATCACATGGCAACCATTTATAGTACTAGTGACATATTTCTATTTCATTTTATCCTATACATTCTATCTCACTCTATCTCATTCTTGCTCTTGAATAGTATCCATGCTGACTAAATTGTGATTACTGATATTATACAGAAAGCCTGATTACTTATTCGTTAACAGTAGATATATATGCTTCACAATTATAATTTTTTTCAATGTTTCTTGAATGTAAGAACATAATACTGCAATCGTACCTGCAATTATACAATATCTTATCTTCAAACATTTCTTTTTTAATTTACAAACAAGCAATCACAAATGACTTTAAAATTACTTCATTTCAAACAATTGGAATACTCCATAGATTAAACCATATGAAATTCTTCTATGTTTCATACAGAATTATTTATCTGAGTAATGCAATA